AAAAAAAAATCAATAAAATATATATTTTTAAAAAGTGAACTTGAATGCCATTGTTAGTGTACCTGGATAAGGCCACAGACATTTTTACAAGCTACCTTTCTTCTTCCTTTTTAAACAAAAGTATGATTTTAGAGAGCGGGGGGGGGGGGGGGGGGGAGACGGAAAGAGAGAGAGAAACATTGATGCAAGAAAGAAACACCAATCAGTTGCCTCCCATACACATCCCTACTGAGGATCGAACCAGCAACCTGGATATGTGCCCTTTCCAGGAATCCAACTTGAGACCTTTTGGTGCCCAGGACAATACTCAACCAACTAAGCCACACTGAGCAGGGCCTTTCTTCTTTCTTTGTAGAGCAAATAACCTTCTCCATATATAGCTAAAAATAAATACCGTGTTTTTCTGTGTCTAAGAAGCCCCCATATATAAGACACCCCCAATCCCCACTTTTCCAACTCAAAAATAAAAAATCAATATTTTAAACGTTTTGCTGGTTTTCCTCTTCAGGCCTTCTTATTTGGCATCTTAAGGAGTTGTTCTTCCTGTTTTCTCCACTGTCACGTCCTACACTCAGTGGGAGGAGGTCCACGTGGTCTCTCTGCAGCTCTCTGTCCATGCTCTTTTGCACAGCTGATTACACTCAGTTTGAATTTTGTAGAGTAAGACAATCGCTTACCAGTATTTATCTTTTTATTTGTTGACATCTTCATGGGCTCAGAACGCTCTGGTCCCTGTTGCCTCTGCGCACTCTCCAACTCCACCTCCTATTACTGCATCAGCTGGCGTCAGTAGCAATAAGGCCCGTGATTGGAGGAAGCCTGTTTGACAAGGTCTGGGCAGCTGCACAGCTGCATGGCTCCCTCCTTGGCTGTATAAGAGGCCCCTCGATGTTCAGTCTTAACGATTTTAGAAAAAAAAAAAATAGCGTCTTATACATGGGAAAGTATGATATTCTTTATTCTCAGCCTATAAATACTTACTGACCCTGGGCATAGGAGTATTGTCTTTAAGTAGAGTTATGTTGAGGGCCCTCTCTTAAAGGAAGAGTGTGCTCCGAACTTCTAACCCCAGTTAGATGTTGTGAAGTGTGATTACGTGCTCGGTGTATAACATTCAAGGAACAGTGTTATTGGGAAGTGATGCTGTGATTCATTTCCTTGGACCTTGTTCGTAACATAGATCTGTAGTTACCTACAATCTCTCTATATAAAAGGCTAATGTGCAAAGTGTCCACTCAGGAGTTCGACTGGGAGAATGGGAGTTTGATAGCTCACTGTGACGTGCACTGACCATCAGGGGGTGGTGTGGAACATGGTGACCAGTGGTGGCGGGGCGCTGAGGGAGTGAGGGCAGGAGGCGAAGAGATAGGGAGGGATACCAGAGGAACTGCGCACTGGTGGTGTGTGGGGGAGGAGGCAGGGAGAAGGGGAGGCAGGGAAGCTGATTGGCCCTGATTGACGGCCAAGCCTAGGGACCTACCTGTGCACAAATTTCGTGTACCAGGCCTCTAGTACTATAATATGGCTAGTACTTTCTACTGGTTTGGGGACAGTAGATGTGTCATTTTCCATCACGCAGATTCCCGAGTGAACCTGGCCTGGTGGCTCAGACAGTTCTTCAGGGATGAGAGTTATTCTCCAGATCTTTGCCCCATTTTCTTTTGTCCACAGCACTTGTCACCCTTTGAAACGGTCTCTCTTGCCTGTCCTGCCCCTTACCTTTCTCGTTTGCTGCTGTCCATCCTCAGGCCTGGAAGACAGTCTGGGTCGGAATACACTGGGCTCACAATAAGTATTCCATGTGTTGAATATATGAATGCGTGAAGGGGTGATGAGAGAATATTTAATTTGTTATCAGGAGCCTACTTTAACTACTAAAGTAACCTGAAGGGGTGGAGGGGTTCAGGTAGAAACAGCTGTAATAATGAAACTCCTCTTTAAAATGTTAATTTAGGACTGAATAGAATAAGCATGGAGCTGACTTCTTGGCAAAACAAAGGAGTTACAGGAGTAACAGAGCAAAATACCATGAAGTGTTTTATGATAAACTCTGGAAATTTTTATTTTGCTAAAAAACTATTAACTTTTAGGAAGACCGTGTCAGTATGTTTGATTATAACCCTGAGAGTAGTTATTAAGTAAAAATTATCTATTTTGGAATAGAGATTTTGACAAGTTGCTCTCCATGGTGTGTAGGGTCTGTAATTACCATTGGTGTGCTTTTGGCATAACTGTATTTGTTCCAAGACCTATTTGGGTTAGAAAATATAGTATTTTTGCATAACTATTGATTGTTGTTAATTTGGAAATAAAGTTTTAACAATTGCTGTCGGACAGAACTAAGTAATTAAGCACAAAATTACTAGCTTGGATTTTGTATTTGTAGTTCTCTGGTATTTATCAATATAAAGCAAGGTTTGTTTGTGTTTTTACCGATCATTGTCTAATTACTTCATTTTTCACAAAGTATTGATTAAAAAACCAGCACAGTGAAAATGTATTTAGTCACACTCTCTAATACGTTTGCATTATTTGCTTCTTTAATTAGATATTATCTTCCATTATGAAAACCTATCAGTGAATCATTATTTGTAAAAGGAGATGGAACATACATTAAACACAGTTCTCTATTAGATTTCACACATTTTTTTTTTAATGATAACATCAACCCAGATGGAAGTAAGCACCATTGTAATGAGAAAAAGAAACAGATAGAATGGAATAATAATGGGGTCTATTTAAATGTTTAAAAATCAAATTGAAAGCTTGTATCTTGCATTTGCAAGGACAGGAGGTGGGTAACTGATGGCAGACCAATGCCAGAGGAGGGAGGGAGGATGCTCGCTCATTCTCTGGGAGGACCACGTGGAGGCACTGGCCAAGAGGATGAGTGTGACCGATTTGGGTATATACTAGCACAGGAGGCTGACTTGTCTTGGTTTAGGCCCGTGGTCGGCAATCTGCGGCTCGAGAGCCACATGCGGCTTTTTGGCCCCTTGAGAGTGGCTCTTCCACAAAATACCAGGCCTGGGCAAGTCTATGCAGAAGAAGTGGTGTTAGAAGAAGTTTAGGTTTAAAAAATTGGGCTCTCCAAAGAAATTTCAATCATTGTCCTGTTGATATTTGGCTCCGTGGACGAATGAGTTTGCCGACCACTGGTTTAGGAAATAAGGGGACACTGTTTCCATTCCCCTCCTTACGCCCAGTCCCCACGGATCTCCTACGGAGTGTGGCCATGGTCGTATAATGTGGTGATTGACTCAGTAAGGGCGGTTTTCGCCTTTCAGATCTCTTTCTTGATGTGTGTGAAGAGGGTGGCAAGCCCACACTGGTGAGCCCAAGTGTCGGGACCTTGGCTTAACCCCTATTCTTGCCATCACTTTCCTCAACAAGAAACAAGGGTTCTAAGCCAATCTGAGAAAGACAAATGACATGATTTTTACTTATTTGTGGAATCTAATGACCAAAATGAATTGGCCAATACAATAAGACCTGAAGCAGGGAGGCATGGGACAGACGGACACACCTCCATGTGGGTTGGGGGGACGAGAAGAGATAAACGAAAGAACGTATACACTTCCGTGCATCACCCACAGACACAGGCAATAGGGTGGGGAAGACCTGAGGGTGGGTAGAGGCTGGGAGAACGGGGGTAAATGGGTGTAAATGGGAGATATCTGTATACTATCAAAAATAAAAAGTATACATAAAAAAAGAAGAACGAGTTGGAAGTTTATTTCTCCGGTGCCAATAGTCTATTTTAAATTACTATTTTAAGTCATCCAGTGACACTTCTATAGTGAAATAAACTCAGCTGGATGATTTGGGCTTTGTGCTTTTGACTTTTCCACTTTTTTAGCATGAGTCCTTACAGTTAATACAGTGATAGAGACCATTATCCTGGGATAGGTGAGACCTATCAGAATGACAACTGGTAAATCTGTCTAGGGAATTGCAAACATTCCACATTCAAGGTATAATTGATATATCTCATTATTAATGGTTTCAGGTGTATAGTATAATGATTCAATGTTTGTATACATCGAGTGGCCAGATTATTATGATCTCTGAATGCATAATAATCTGGCCACTCAGTCTCTGTCCTATAGAATAAAAGACTAATATGCAAATTGTTGCCTCGGCCAGGAGTTCGATCAGCAGGCAGGCCAGCCAACCGCTCATGTCTCCTCTCCCTGGCCAGGCTGGCCGGACCCCACCCATGCATGGATTCATGCACTGGGCCTCTAATATATATTGATAGTATATATACACTGAGTGGCCAGATTATTATGACCACTGAACGTATAATAATTTGGCCACTCAGTGTATATTACGAAAGGATCACCACAAGAGTCTAGTTAACATCTACCACCATACATACCGTGCTTCCCCGAAAATAAGACATCCTCCGAAAATAAGACCTAGTGCATGGAAAGATAAGACATCCCCTGAAAATAAGACCTAGTGCAACTTTGGGAGAAAAAATTAATATAAGACACTGTCTTATTTTCGGGGAAACAGGGTAGTAAAGAACATTTTTTTCTCTGATGGGATTTTAAAAATATGTATTTTTTATTGATTTCAGAGAAGAAGGGAGAGGGATAAAGAGATAGAAATATCAATGATGAGAGAGAATCATTGATCAGCTACCTCTAGTGGGGACCAAGCTCACAATCCGGGCAAGTGCCCTGACCAGGAATTGACCTATGACCTCTTGGTTCATAGCTTAACACTCCACCACCTAGCCACGCCAGTGAGCTGTGTTGAAGACTTTTAAATTCTATTCTCTTAGCAACTTTCGAAGATGCAATGCAGTGTTTTTAACTGGAGTCCCCACATGCTGTTCATCACATCCTGATGACGGACTGATTTGTTTTCTAACTGGAATCGGTACCTTTTGCCCCCCTTCTCCCATTCCACCGACCCTCTACTCCCCAGAAGTCCACTGACATTTGGGAAAACTATAATAAGAGTTTTTTCCCTTGCTGTTGCCTTTTCAGGATCAGAGCCACACCCAGGTGTCCCAGTACCGCCAGGATCCGTCCTTGATCATGAGGTCCATCGTCCACATGACGGATGCTGCCCGCTCGGGGATCATGCCTCCCGCCCAGCTCACCACCATCAACCAGTCTCAGCTCAGTGCTCAGTTGGGGTTGAACTTGGGAGGAGCCAGTTTGCCCCATACGTCTCCTTCCCCTCCAGCGAGCAAATCGGCCACCCCCTCCCCTTCCAGCTCCATCAATGAGGAGGACGGGGATGACTCCAGTAGGGTAAGTTCATTGCCAAGTACAGAACCACCCAGAGAATTCCTGGATCCCCCTTCCCCCTCCCCCCCCACCCCCGCAATGCTCATGTCTTTCAACTTCATTCATGGTTTCACCTTCTTTCTCTTCATGGATTTGTGTTGGCATTTAAATGTATGATGATTACTTTTCCACTCTTTCACTCATTCTCTGTGTAACATGTGTTCAGTCAGAATATGGGAGCTCTGGCTTCTATTGGTTGGAAGGCATTGAGCAAGTTCATTTGACTCCGGTAGGCCTAATGTTCGGAATATAATAAAGGGGGGAGGGGGCTCGCAGTAGACTTTATTCTAAACATGCTTTGATTCTGATTTAATGTTCATGTGGGTGAGTTTCATCCAGTTAGTTATCTTAACTACCACTCCATTTGACAGCCTTACACCTTAGATTATGGTTATCATTCATGAAGTTCTAATTGTCTTACATCTTTGCTTTTGTCATGGGCAGTGTATATTATTTAAATTTACATAGTTTGAAGTAAAAGCTTAGTTGCAGGCATGTTTTCTTCTGAATGCCTAGAAAAGTGTTCTGTTTCATTAAATTGACTTATTCTGGGTCCACAGTTACTCTTTCCTTACTCATGAATTAGGGGCTGTACACCTACTGTGCGCTTGGCATTTTACTTGGTTCTGGTGAGATAAAGATGAGAGCTACTACCCATGGGACTCCCCATTGGGGAGGAAGAGCCATGTTGAAAAGGAGCTACAGATGTGATTAGCGGATAACTGATGTGTCTGGTGCCCGGACATTGTGATCTATTCTGCTTGGGAGAGCAGCCTGCGGACCACTTTATTGGGAGCTGATATTTGAGTTAGGTCTAAGAGGTTACATAAAGGTTTGTGAGGTAGAAGAGAGAGGCTGGCATTCTGGTAGATGGAGCAATGGAAACACATTGGAATTTATGGCTCTCGTGAACAGTGTGATTTGGAGGAGGAAAGATAGGAGTTGGAGAAAGAACTCCTATGTGGTGGCCTTTCTCTTGTGGGCAGTTCAGGGCTGATTAATTATTTGTATAGTGGGATGGTAAAAGCAAACCTAGGCTTTAGAAAGATCACTTTGGCTATATTTAGAGTGCATCGCAGAGGGCGGGACTTGAGAGAAGGAAACCAATGAGAAGACGCCGTCTATGAAGAGTCTCATGTTAGCAAAGGAAAGAGTGGTCGGGAGGTGCCGGATCAGTGAGACACTGCAGAGGGAGAATCATTGGGGTGTGGTGACCCACTGGAGTTTGAAGGAAGAAGAAGAAAAATTGGGTTTTAGTTGAAGAGCCAACATGCATGTCAGTAAATGAGAGGATCACCCCAGAAACTCAGGAGAGCAATTTTTTTTTCCCCCCCTGATGGGGAAGGTGAGAGTTTGGCATGTGAAGGGTTGAACTTGAGACGCTTACCGTTGAATCTACAACTCAGCTCCTTGGAAGTGCAACGAGGGACTTGGGACCCTCAGCACAACAACATGAAGACATGGGAGTAATCAGGAATTCCTACAAGTGTCCAAGGAGCAAGTCAAGGCCAGAACCCAGAGCCTCATTAGTTTTTAAGTAGCAAATGGAAGAAGAGAGGTTAGAGAAGACAGAGAGGGTGAGAACAGGGTACGGGTAGAGTGCTGTGGTAGGGATTTCAAGAGCGAGGGTTTGGTCAGTGCCATCCTGTGAGCACCCATTGAACACAGGGCAGGCACATGCACTAAGTCTCTGCTCGCGCAAGGACTTCAGGGAGGGGAAGTCAGAAATAACAAAGCAAGAAACCAAAGGGTATCAGAGTAGAGCTAAGTGATCCATGGTCATTACGTAAACGAAATGGACACCTTTCACTTCACTCCTGTTTCTATGATGTTAACACTTACCTGCCTGCCAGACTGAAATGGTTTTGCCTCCAGAGAAATTTTTCTGTGACTCCTAAGCTTGCTCCATTTTTGCGACCTTCTATGTTTTATGTAAAGACAAGGAAAAAAAGAATCCAGTTTCCATTTTAAGAACTTAGCTGGGAAAGGGAGATTAATTTTCTCGTCGATTATGCCTTTGGGGTAAAGCTCTCTCTTCACCTTTCCCAACCCCTTTGAATCAACCACTCACAAAAAAGCTTCTTTGGGAGAGTTCATTCTGAGCTTTTCTGTAAATGGGCGAGGTTCTACCTTTCTCGTTTGTTCTTATAAAGGGAATGGCCAGCAGGGCAAGTCACCTTTCTCCAAGAAAGACGCCAAAAATTGTCAACATGTGAATGTTGTTTTTCAAAGAATGAAATCAGATGCCTCTTATTTGGAAAAAGCTGCCCTGGAAATTAATTAAATCTTGTCATTGGTCAGAGTATTATCTTTGGCGCAAACGATAATACTACATTTTCCCCCCAGGAAAAGAATTTAGATGCCTGACTCAATTAGAAGCACACGCGCGCGCACACACACACACACAGAGATATGCTAAAGTAATAGTTTTTTATTAAAGGAAAACTTGGCTTTAATTGAAGTTCTGTCTAAAAGGCATTTGACTCCTTTGCAAGTTCAGAGTCATTAACTAGAGCTAAGCAAGTCTTACTTATTCTGAGAATTTAGAAAAAAGACTCTGAGGCCTATAACTTTTGCTGGGTTAATTGTGTGAGTTATCCGAGCTGGCCTTTTGGGGGAATGGTGAAATGTGGCTTCACACCATCGGAAGTACGTGCGGGGCTTGTATAAAGCGCGGGTGTTGTTATCTCTCAAATAGTACCAACAGGAAGTTCACCTGGAAGTGGACTTGGTATGCCACGCTCTCAAAGACACACTACTGACCCAGTTTCCTCCCCAAGAATTTTAGTGGTTGGATCAAGTTCCAAATGCCTCTTCTTCAGAAAGTCATGATACTCTTGGAAAATCTGAATTAAGGCTCTAGATCCATGAAAAGGCCATGAAAAGCCAATCTGTTTGTAGCTTGAATCTGTCTCTGCTGATCTGTCCCCAGGCTGGCTTTTAAGATGGCGTTTGGTCAAACATTTCTGCATTTTTGAGGAAGTAACTGCAAAATGATCTGAAGTGTAGTCTCGTGATAATCTAAGGGGCTGAAGCAAGGTTGATCCATCATTTCCCCTGCTTCTCTGATGAGTATAGAGGATTTGGAGTTAGGTGGTGGTAGGAGGGGAATCTGGAAGTCCGTGGTTTACATGGTTGCAGGGCTGTATCCATATTATTTCTATTAATAGGAGCTCATATTGTGAATCTGTGTGAGCATCTGTATTATTCTGGGCAAGCTTATTCACCACCTATATATATAAAAGCCTAAGTGACCAAATGACCATTCAACTGGTCACTATGATGTGCACTGACCACTAGGGGCAGATGCTCAACACGCAGGATCGGGCTCTCTCCTGTCTGGATTGGGCCTGTGGAGACTGGGCTGAAACTGGCTACCTCCAGCAGTCTTGGATTGTGAGAGGACACAAGCCAGGCCAAAGGACCCCACCGGTGCACAAATCCATGCACCAGGCCTCTAGTATATAATAAAAATCTTCCTTTTAGCCTTGGTGAGTTTAAGATCAACTATTGCTCTATCACAAGTTGTTAATTCTGTGAAGGGTATCCATTTTCTTTCTATCTCCCATTAAAGGAGTTTTGACATGCACTTCTCATTCTCCTCTTCTTTCGAAAGTTCTTGTTTCAGAAAATAAAGATGACCTTACCCTTAATGTACAATCTTAGGGGTGGCAGCTAATTCCTAGTTGCATTTCTGGAGATCGGTTAATAGAGTAAAAATAAATCAGCCTCAAAACAACAACAAAAACAATTCAGACCCATCCTGCATATGGCATATGACTATGGCAAGGGGCCGCATTTAAAATATCTGAATAGGATTGACCTCCTGAATGTTATTTAGGTTGACTTTTCAAATCCCTGAAAAAGTGAAATATTTTGTTTATGTATACATGGGTAGCCTCTCTCGCCTGCGCACGCATGCGTGCGTGTGTGTGTGTGTGTGTGTGTGTGTGTGTGTGGAGAGAGAGAGAGAGAACATTGCCTAGTGTGGAGGGTTCTTTTTCATTACTCATAACTGCTATTTAGAGCATATGTTGTAACTAGATTTAAGATACCTCTGGATCTCATTAATCAAGGTTCTAAAAATGCTAATCCCTGCTGTCCAGTGAATGCTAAGCAAATCCGCCCCGCACCCCTCTGCCTGCCTGGCAGTTCATCTGGGATGACGCTTCCCCAAACCTTAAAAGAATAACTGTGGGCCCGAGTAGGACTTGTTGCAAAGACATTCCAGGCAGTGAGTTTTCTCCGTGCTTTGCAGGCCATTGGGGAGAAGAGAGCGGCTCCAGATTCCGGCAAGAAGCCCAAGACGCCAAAGAAAAAGAAGAAGAAGGATCCCAACGAGCCCCAGAAGCCAGTGTCCGCATACGCCCTGTTTTTCAGGGACACACAGGCGGCCATTAAAGGTCAGAACCCCAACGCCACCTTTGGAGAAGTCTCAAAGATCGTGGCGTCCATGTGGGACAGCCTGGGAGAGGAGCAGAAGCAGGTGAGTCAGACTCCGTGGTGGCCACACGAATAAAAAGTGGCCGGGGTGGTCCTTACATCTTTACTTTTTTAAAAATCCTCACCTGAGGATGTTTTAATTTTTAATTTTTATTTATTTTAGAGAGAGAGAGCAAACATCAACTAGTTGCCTCCCGTACATGCCCCGACCAGGGATCAAACCCACAACCTATTGGTGTATAGGAAGATGCTCCAACCAGCTAAGCCACCTAGCCAGGGCTCCTTATATCTTTTTTTTTTTTTTTTTAATAATATTTTTATTGATTTTTAGAGAAAGAGGAAGGGAGTGGGAGAGAGAGAAAAACATCAATGTGATTGCCTAACATCAATTGGCCGCCTCCTGCATGCTCTCTACCAGAGACCAAGCCTGTAACCTTTGTAAGTGTCCTGACTGAGAATCGAACCAGGGACCTTTTGGTGCATCGGACAATGATGCTTCAGCCAAATGAGCTGCACTGCCAGGGCAATATCTTTTCTGAGTGCATATGTTCATTTAATATGATCACTTGCCACAAAATCCTTTCTAAGCTATGGAATGGAAGACACACACACACACACACACACACACACACACGAATATATGAACAGAACCCTTTCTCCAGTTATGTGGATTCCTCAGTTCCTATAAAGATGTGTGATCTGAGCCCATGTAGAGGAGAGGTGGAGGAAATCCAGGCAGCACCCTGCAAGCATAAACCTTTGATGATAATCTATAATAGGGGTGTCGAACTCAATCAGAGAAGGGGCCAAAATCTAAAATCCAGCCTAAATCGCGGGCCGAATGGTTTACTGAACAGTCATAAATTGTCATTGTGATGGAAACGCAGCGGAGTGCAGTGATGACAGCGCGGTGCGGGCCACATTGCAAGGCCTGGCGGGACGGATTTGGCCCGCGGGCCTTGTGTTTGACACATGTGATCTATAATCTCTTCACTTTAAATGATGTGGACTGATTTCCCCCTTTGTTCCAAAGGGGCACCACAAAGCCATGGGGCCCGTCCCACTTGCTTTCTCTGTGATCATCTTTCTGAACTCTCATGCTATCCCAGTGGGTTTCCAAACTTTGAAGCTGTCCCTGCGTGTCTCATAATTTTCCCCAGGCATTTGAAATGGTATGCCAGGTTCATTTGAAAGCTCGGCAGTGTGAGAGAGAGGTATTGGGAGATTAGCCAGGCTGGTGGGAGATTCTTCCTTAGGGTTTGGTCTCTTCTTCTCCTCCCTGCAACTCCTCCACGCAGTGAAGAAAAGAAAGGCGTCCCTGAGGGTCAGTCCTCCCCTGGCTCCTTGCGTGAAACTCCAATGACCATTAATAGGAGTCAGCGTGAAGAATAGACCCCTATTTGTAACAACATAGACTAATGATTTCAGGGTTGGAGAGAGGAAAACCCTTGGTTTTTTCCTTTCTTGACAAATCATGATATCATGTTTACCAACTGGTTTCGTTGGGAGGGTGCGACTATAGAAGTTGCCTGTGTGTTTGCAGTGTGCAGCAGACTGATTTTCTACCCCAGACAGGTAACCTGAAGGGTTTGGCAAATGGATTCACCCAACTTTTCAACTCAGGGAGAAAGATGGGCTTTGGTCTAATACTTAGCCATCAGGTCATTGTTAGAAAAAGAAGCCCAAAATCATCTGTAATATGCTGGGAAATGTTTATGTAATGCATGCATCTCACTAATGGACATCTCCCCACTTTCACTATGTACAGCTTTTCTCCTCTGCAAAAGAAAACCAAGGTCCAAGGCCTCTATCCGTTCTGTCTTCACACACTCTACCTATGGATGGTGTTTTGTTTTGTTTTTTTAAATATACTTTTATTGATTTCAGAGAGGAAGGGAGAGGGAGAAGGAGATAGAAACAAAAAGGATGAGAGAGAATCACTGATTGGCTGTCTCCTACATGCCCCCTACTCAACCCCACAACATAGGCATGTGACCAGGAATTGAACCGGGACCTATTGGTTCAGAGGTCAATTGTCAACCTCTGAGCCACACTGACTGGGAAAACTCATTACTTTTTATCATTTCAACCATTTGCAGCAAATGTTATTCTTCTTACATCCTTATTTACTGCCTTCTCATGAGATCCTTTACTATTACTCTCAAAGAATCTATGCTCCACCTGAAATATCTTTTTCTCATTTCCCACAGTAAAACATCAAAACTGTGTTCCAGTGAGGGTGGCTGGGTTTTGTTTTGAGGTGTGTGTGTGTGTGTGTGTGTGTGTGTGTATTTACAATGATCAAAGCCAGGGAGACCAGCTTTTTCTGTGAGTTTTGTTGTACTAAACGGTACAACAGGTATTGGACTGGGTGGTGCTAATTGTGGCCTTTCGACAGGTGTATAAAAGGAAAACGGAAGCTGCCAAGAAGGAGTACCTAAAGGCGCTTGCTGCATACAGGGCCAGCCTCGTGTCTAAGGTAAGCCGATCTCTGAGAGGCACATCTTCTGCCCTTCCCCTCCCGCACCCAGCATTGAACACATCAATGCAACTTGCCTCAGAGTTGACCAGAAAAGCCTCTTGCACAACTCCCACATTTATTTGTTTTCATTAAGGATTCCTGGCATTGCCGAAACCGGTTTGGCTCAGTGGTAGAGCATTGGTCTGCGGACTGAAAGGTCCCAGGTTCAATTCCGGTGAAGGGCATGTACATTGGTTGTGGGCACATCCCTGGTAGGGGATGTATAAGAGGCAGCTGGTCGATGTTTCTCTCTCATCGACGTTTCTAGCTCTCTATCTCTTTCCCTTCCTCTCTGTAAAAAATCAATAAAATATATTAGGAAAAAAAAAAAAGGATTCCTGGTATAAAAATATGATGAATTGAAGTAATTTCAGCTGCTAAATCAGAATGGTTGCCAAAGGACTCCCTGGTCTCTAGACGCATGGGGAAGCTGTTTAGACACATTTTAAATAGCCTCTTAGTCTTCCATGGAAGTCAGAGATGGAGCTGTGTGTCCATGGCCTGTGGTTAAGCTGGGAGGCATGTCTGTCTCGCAATGTGCGACATCATGTCATAAATCCACCAGTGACTTCATTATTGCAGGAGAGGAGGCTGCATTTTTTTACCAGAGGGCTCCATGTCATATAAATAAATAAACCTCATGACTATTTAAAATAAAATTATGCTCCCGGCACTGAAAAATAAAGACATGTGTATGTATTACACATTGCGTATACAACGGGCCCTGATGTATTATAAATGCACCGACATCCCAAAGCACATGTCACTCTAGATTATTATTACCTTGATCCAAAAGGAGCCTGAGCTATTACATGATATTATTTTAGCATTTAATTAACTTTGGTTTCAGCCCCCCTAGAATTTCGAGAGGCTTTGGGGAGATGAAATTGAGCTGAGGGTTTTTTTCCTGATGTATGTCCCCTGGCAAGCAGAGATTCCATTGCCTTGTCATTGCTTTTGCCCGCAGTCCCACATAGGGCCCTGGGGCGTGGTAGGCGGCAGGGCTGTTTGAAAGAGTGGGTCCCGAGTTGTCTCTCCTTCATCTTAAAATTTATCCTGCCGTGGGCCGTTGGTGGGACACTTTCCACTTCGTTAGAAGGAGAAAAAGCGGTCTTAGGTCACTAGTAAAGCCTTTTTCTGAGGCTCTGGAAGACACGCATTGAAAGTTAGGATGCCCACATGATCTCACTCACGTGCGGAATCTAAACAACAAAATAAACTGATGAACCAAGTGGATCCAGAGACATAGACTCATGGAACAGAGTGCGTAATCTTAGAGGGAATGCGGGGAAGGACGGGGAGTGGGAAGAGATGACCCAAAGACCGTATGTGCATAGGTGTGTCACCCATGGACACACACAATAAGGTGGTGAAGGCCTGGGGCAGGGGGTGGGGGCGGGCTGGAGGGGCTCAGTGGGCAGAAAAGGGGATATATATAATACTCTTAACAATAAAAAAACAAAAACAAAAACGAAAGAAAGACAAAATGACAGCCAACACAATAATAGCCATTCTGTGTGAATGAATCAAAACTATACCTTTTTTTTTTTTTTGTCAGATCAGCAAAAACTATAGCTTTTGGTGTGCCTCGACTTTTAGTAATAGTTTTGGGAGTTGAAAAAGGTTGAAAATCGCTAGTCTGTACCTGAAGGGTCACTTCCCAGGTTCCTTCTAATAGTAGATTTTATAAATCCGAGCGATAAAAATGCAGACGTAGACATTCAAAGTCATTTAAAGAGAGCGGGTACCAGCTGGATGGCTTCACGGTGACCTCACTACCCTGTCTCCCAAACCTCCTGGTTCTGTGAAGGATAAGGAGGAAATATAGTCTTTAAGAGGAATCACTCCAATCCCTGTGGCATCAGTAAAATATATATTTTTTGAGGCGGTAATTCTGTGTTTTTGGTACAGGATATAATAGCTAGTTTCTCTCTAGGCTGAGCCTCAGATGGTGGTTTATAGCAGGTCATGCAGTCAGTCACATGAGTTTTAGACATTCTTCCCTCACCTATGGCTGCTTTGGTAAATTCTGGGACTCTTTGCAAATACTTGGTAAAATAAACCATTTCTCATGCTGTAAAGTATTCTAAGGAATCCAGTTATGTTGTTCTTATGCCCAAGTGAGCACTGTCATACAGTCATCACGCACATACATGGCTTTGGTGTTTTCCGGTAGCTGTGGTTGTCAGTAAAAGCTGCTAACATTTACTCAATGCTTCATGTTCTAAAATTCCTCACACACATGAATCCAAGGCAGATACCATACAACCCCATTTTATAGACAAGGAAACTGAGGAACCACCGGATGAATTCATTTGCCCCAAATCATAGAGATCTCAAGTCATAGAGGCGGATTGGCACTCAGGCAGTCTGTACTCTTAAGTCAATATTTAGTGCCAACATCAATGCTGAAGAACCGTTGCTCTTCGATATGTGTATCAGTCATCTGTCACTACAATACAGCTGCGTAACAAGCAGCTGCAAAGCCAGGGACCTGAAAAGAGAAGGGTTGATCTCAGGGTGCCAGTTAGCTGGTTGGTTCTTCAGATTGAGGTCGTGGTGGGCAGGATTAGCTAGATCTGCTCATCTGTCTGCCGTGCGTGGGGAGGTCAGGAGTGAGGGGCAATGGACTCGTTCCCGTAGGTGGCAGGCAGTAGGCGGGCTCTTGAGCAGGGAACCTGGGCCATGCACGTTGTCATCACGCACGTGGCAGTGGTAGTTCTGAGAGGCAGTGTGTGCGCCAGAGTACAAGGCCCCGTGAGACCTCGCTTTCATCACATTCCACAGGCACAAGGCCGGCCCCAGGAAAGAGGTGGGAAATTTGATTCTATCCCGGGACGAACTAAAAAGCCACCCGGCAGAGGGCTTGGGGACGGGGAAGCATGCATCCTGGTGGCCATCCTGGAAAAAAAAATGCTCACCTCTGTTAACTGCGCATGCATTTTCATACTTGGGCCTTTCCCTCCCGGAATGCAGGCGGCTGCTGAATCGGCAGAAGCCCAGACCATCCGATCTGTCCAGCAGACCCTGGCGTCCACCAACCTGACATCCTCCCTCCTCCTCAACCCTCCACACGGAGCGGTGTCGGCGGCGGCGGCCGCGCCCCAGGCCCTGCAGCAACAGTCACTCCCTCGCTCCATCGCTCCCAAGCCCTTGCCCATGAGGCTGCCCGTGAACCAGATCGTCACGGCGGTCACCATTGCCGCCAGCATGCCGTCGAACCTTGGGGCGCCGCTCATCAGCTCCCTGGGTGCCAGCTTGGTGGGCTCAGCATCCGCCACGCAGGTGAGCCCGTCCGCGCAGACCCCTCAGCAGCAGCAGCAACAGCAGCAGCTGCAGCAGCAGCTCCAGCAGCAGCAGACCCAGCAGCAGCAGCTCCAGCTGCAGCAGATGCACCAGCAGCTCCAGCAGCAGATGCAGCAGCAGCTCCAGCAGCAGATGCAGCAGCAGCTCAGCCAGCAGCACCTGCAGCAGCAGCTCGGCCAGCAGCACCTGCAGCAGCAGCTCCAGCAGCAGCTGCAGCTCCAGCAGCAGCTGCAGCACATGCAGCACCCGGCGTCGCAGCCTTCACCGCGCCAGCACTCGCCTGGTGGCGCCCCGCAGCTGACATCCCCCGTCCCCGCCATCGGGAGCCCCCCGCCGGCCTCCCAGCCGCAGCACCAGGCGCAGGTACAGTCCCAGACACAGACGCCAGTGTTGCCGCAGGTCAGTATTTTCTGAAGACGCGCAGCGAGCCGAGTGGCAGGCAGGCGGATGGATGGATGGATGGATGGATGGGCACTCGGTGGCCAGCGGAGGGTCCACTGTCCCCATGGTGGAGACTCCTCCATCCCACGGCGGAGACTCGGAGGTCGGAGGTCGGTGTTGGCCCCGCAGACAAGCATCGCCGATGCCACGGCCCTCCGGAGTGTCTATGAGATAGGCAATAAGAACCACAGCGTAGCTGAGCATCCTCCCCTCGCAAGTGCGAAAACCGCGTGGGTTTTCCACAAGACAAGCTGTGCTCTTGGATGTGATGCCTTTTCTTAATTTATTCAGGCTCTACCTACGATATGTGAATCAAACCGTCTCCTGAGTCCTGGGACCGGCCGAGGGCGACGGGGGCCTCTCTGAGTCACCGGACGTGACTGCCTAGACGGCACTTCCAGGCCACGGGGCCTCCTGACCCCCCCACCATGAAAAGCACAGTTGTAAACTACCTGAACCGGGACAGTCCCATGTCATACAGACATTGGTATGACATGGCTAGTCGATGGCATTTTTTTGGTCATGGAAAAATAATAATAATGTAAATCACAGACTTTTGCCAAAGGTCTTATTTTTTTTCCTCCTAAATATCTCCAGAAAAAGAAAGAAAAACAAAACAAAACACACAAAAAAAACAACACAAGTGATTAGGTTCAGTTATTGACTCATTCCCACTCTTTACCCACGCTGTCTCCAAACTGAACAATATCTAATGACCGCGTTAGCCCATTATGGCCATTCCAATTAGAGGGAAAGAATGTGAATATTATATTCTGTGTTTTGAGTGACAAGTTTCGAAAAGTAAAAAAAAACACACTGTATTTTTAAAAAGGGAAATGAACTTAAATGAAAGCAGTTATTACAAAAGTTAAGATTTAAAGTAAAAAAAAACAAAAGCGAGAGTTTTTATTATGACGTACTACCGGTAGACTATGTAACAGGCTCACCGCACCAGAGTAATCAATGTAAATATTTTCTTTCCGAGGTGTACGTTTTCCTATCATGTGTTGTAAAGTTTTCATACACGAGGCTTTAACGTAAACACTGATGACCACCGACCATCCATTGCTACGTTGCTTATTGTGTTTTTACGCTGTTTTATACTTTTTTTATGAGTTACGATAGCAGCCATTGAGTTGTTTGTATTTTGCTTAACTGAAACAACAACAAAAAAAATGCTTTTATCTTGCTATAGAATAAACACATTTCCGTAAAGACTGTGGGCTGTATTTTGACGCCACAAGCCGGACAGCTGTTCACTTTTCAAATAAGACGATCTGTCACGTTTCCCTTTTGGTGCCTTGAATATGTGTAGGCCACACCTTCCCTTCTCAGTTGGCAATGGGATGTCAGAGCTAAGGGTGTGCATGGCCTGGCCCCAAACCAGGGCCCTTGAAAAACAACAACAACAACAACAACAGAAAATACTTTGGAAATAGTTTGGGGATGATCCTTTTGTGAAGGGGCAGGTGCGGAAGGAAGGTAAGTAGAGAGGAAAAAACCTTCTCTGAGAGGGTGGGAGCTGGCCTGGGTTGGCGATTGCTCTTAAAACCCACGCTCATTCTTAAGCCAAAATAATGATTTCCGTGCCCATGCCGTCTCCCTCCCCCTCCACCCCCTCGCTCCTGATGGCTCCTCTCGGAGAACGCTGTGACCACGGTCCCCAGTTGTCTTGCATGATTAATTACAGCATCTGTCGTGTCAGAAGCTGTAATGAAGAGGTCTTGATAAAAATTGCAAATTACCACTGGCAACAGTCTTCCCCTGCTTATGATGAAATAAAAATTAAAAACAGCAAGTGTCAAGCCTGACCAGACCCTCATCCGGAGGAGAAAAAAAGAATACACACACACACACACACACACACACACACACAACCAAACGAGGGTGTGAGTGGTCGGGTCCATAGTCAGCGCGCGCGAGGCACTCAAAGCATAATGGACTCTGGATGCTCTAAAGTTGTTGCAGCTCAAAGAATATTTACTGTATGTTGTGGGCTATGAATAATGAATCCGGCTTTAAATATTTCATAGTCCTCCTGTCCTCTGTAGAATGTACAAATATTGAACAGCAAGAGACTCTAATTATAAATTTATAGATTTCTTGCTGTAGAGAAATGTATGTCTAAATGGAAGCTTTTCCTAAGATGCATGAGCTGACGGGTCTCACTGTACAGGTTTCGGACGGTCCCTCGTCCCGTCTACGAGGGGGCAGCTGTACCCCACACGGAAGGGATCTGCTCGTGTCAGATCCATCTGAAGCAGAACCGACGGGGGGTGGGGGTGGGGGGTGTGATTCTGTGGATCCAGACGAACGTTCCAGAACAATAAGAGCCGTTTTACATTCTGTTGTGAAACCTTTAGACAAATGTCTTCAGAATTAATTGCTAGACTCCTTGTGACAGTAATTGTGTATTAGTTCTGTAATTGTCATCTTGAAAACCCATGAAGTATTGCTGGGGGGAAGAAGTGTCACTCGTGATAAGGCTTAATTGCAAGTGAAGTCTGTGTTCCACTGTTTGCAGTGAGAAGCAGGTGTTGTACCATCTAGTAAATGACTTTGGAAATCTTGGGTTTTATCACATTTGATTAAACGCTGAGAGGCCACCGATGGTCCATGGCAAGGGGGAAGAAACATAGTTCCGTCCCTCCAGGTTAAAAAAATTAATCATTGGGCAAAACTATATAAAAGTCCTCTTTCTCAGGACTCACTAAGAATATGGTGAATCCACTTGGATTTCCATTTGTCCATGTGTTCCTGGTGCTTGAAAGCAAGAACTTGGTGTACTTTGTGTGGTGGTTAAGGTCAGAAATAAATGGGGGTGCTGAAAGGTAGGCCTGAGAAATGTGGAAGCTGATTCGTGGGGCGCCTCAATGGCCTTCAAGCCTCCCCCTTAAGTGTCCACAATCATTGCCAAGGCCCTCCCGCCCCCTCCACCTCCATCACACCCCTCTTCTCCTCTGTCCCCCCTGCCGTGGGCACATCATTTTATTACTCTGCCTAAACATGCTCTCATCCTCGCATTAACCTGTATGCCGCATGATGTCATAACCTACGGGGTTTCCCTTTGTAGCCGATGCGGGGTCATTAGTTCCTGACTCCCCAGAACAAAGGCCTCCGTGCCTTTGTCGCAGCATCCTTTCTGCGGTAGATTCTCACCTGACGGGGCTTGAAGGCTTCCCAGACAAATGGATGCCTAGCTGGAGAGTGAGCAGAAGTCCTCTGCCGCATGCATTCGGTGGCCTTCGGCTGTCTGAGTGGTCTCTCTCCCCTTTCTCACTCCACGGAGCTCTTTTTTCCTTCTCAGCGCTGGACTTCAGTCTAACCTCCCCTCCTCACCCTCCCCCTCCACTGTCTTTGTTTGGCTTTTGTTTCGCAACAGCTGTTATTATCGTTTTTTTGGTCAGCTGTGATTGCTGGAGGCAAAATAGGACCAGATGGTGTTTTGCTATGCATGAATGGGGAGTTGGAGGGGTGGCGATTGAATAGGCCAAGTCTGAATGGTGTCTGTGCACCACCTGCCTGCCTGGGCCGCGGCCGCACATCACAGGAGCGTGATCCGGCTTCGGGTGGGAAAGTGGGGAGCGGGCTGGTTTCCCCCATATTTATTGATCTCCCATGCGCTGACCGGATAATCCAGGCAATCTGAGTTAATTGGATATGACACAGCTTGGGCGTGCAATCTCTCTAGAATTCCTGGTTTGCTTAAAGGATTTCATTTTTTCCCAAAGTAGACACACACAGGCACACACATACACACACACATACACACACACACACAAATAGCAAAAGTTACTAGGCTAAGTAGGCAAAGTGGCTAATATAAAATTATGTAGGTCCCAGGAGCATAATTCTGTACTACATCATCCGTACATTGTATTGTGCCTTCACATCCCAAGTCAAGTTTATTAGCCAATGTCAAAGCAAGCCAATAAGAAATACGTTTTGAAAAGCCTAAGATTGTGGACTTTAAGAGCCTAAGGCTGAGGTGTCAGGAGGTGAGCACATCTCCCTGATATTTGTATTAGCTCAGAAGGTCAAAGTGAATCCTGAGATGTAGCGAGCCCTCATCTTTGTAGAGTTTACCCGCCCAGTAATGCGCGTTTCTGAGAATGTGCCTCACGGGGAACACCACACACACACACAGACCTGATTAGAATGTGCTTAGGAACTGCCAGTGCTCGCTGTTTCTCTTCATTCCTCAAACTGTAGCGAGGGTTGCCAACTAGCTGAAGTACTAGCTTCAAGGACAGACACTAGCCGGGGAATGGGTTTGACTCCGGTTGATTGTGATCCTACAGGTGTGTGTGTGTGTGTGTGTGTGTGTGTGTGTGTGTGTGTGTGTGTGATTGTGTTGCTCCATGTGTGGCTGGGGAAAAGCTCAATCATCCGGAAGCCTGGTGTTACACACGCAGGCAGCCCCGTGTGCCCCAGGCCTAATTACTTACTAGGTTTACTCCTGCTACACGCCAAACAAACGTGGTGATCGGTACGGATGGACAGAGGCGCAAACATAAACATGGCCCTCGGTTTACTCTGTGTGTGTTTGAAATGTTCCAACATGGGAGCTCAAAAAGTAATAGTCCTCCTGACCTTAAGGAGCCTTAATTTGTTTTATTGCAGTGGGGACATGTACCCACCAGACAAAGTGATTCATGTGCCAACGAAAGACAGAGAACAAATGAGGGGACGTGTGAGTGTGTGTGTGTGTGTGTGTGTGTGTGTGTGTATGGGTGTGTGTGTGTGTGTGTGTGTGTGTGAATATAATTTGAGAAAATTACAATGTATTTGGAAAGGGAAGAGATTGCGATTGGGTAGAAGTGTTGGGGGAAGTTGCATGGACTTCCAGCCTGTAAGATGTGCCCGGGAGGGTGGGTAGGACTCCAGGGGAAGAGGAAGTCCTCTCATGGTAGATCTAGGAACTGTCTCCAGGCAGGGCAGAGAAGGAGAGAAAACACTCAGGTTGAAAGGACGGCCACCATCCGACTCCAGTAGATTGTAGTGAATCGACCAGGGGTGAGCAAATGCAGAGGATTTTAACTTCCTTCCAACAAGGGTCACTCCCCTGCGCACTGCAGGCTGAAAGAAGAAAGTGGAACAAGATTCTCACTTGAAATGTACCTTCTGGCCCTCGCTGGTGTGGCTCAGTGGAAAGAGCCTCAGACTGCGGGCGGAAGGGTCCCGGATTCGGTTCCCATGGACGGCATGTGCCTGGGTTGCAGACTCAAAGGGAACCGATCAATGTGTCTCTCTCACATCGACGTTTCTCTCTCTGTCTCTCTCCCTTCTACTCTCTCTCTAAAAATCAATGGAGAAATATTCTCAGGTAAAGATTAAAAAAAAAAAAAAAGGAAATATAGATGCTCATGATTTGCAGGCATAACTACAGCTTTGGCTTCATGCTCTTTCTCTCTCACCGCTCCCATCATTCTGGTGCAAGAACAGGCACCAACGAAGCCGGATCCAGGCCCTCTTGGGTACCAGCTGTACAGCAAGCCTCCTCCTCCCGTTGGCATGGTGAGGGAGATGGTTCTGTGCGTGGCTGTGTGCGAGGGAAGCTCTGCTCACCGCTGCTGGAAGGTGCCTCTCGGTGCTTGAACTCCGATGATGAAGAAGTCTGGCTCTGCTGCCAAGTGGAACCCCAGGTGGCACCGGAGGGGTGTTGGCCATGATCTCCATTTCATTTCAAAGAAGAACCTTCACAGGCAGGGACCATGGGCATGAATGCTCCCGCACATGTCTCAGCACAGGAATCATGGTCTCCTGTGAAACCCTCATTATCTCTCGCGTCTGTGTGGTCCTGTCCTCTTCACAGGCCGTTTTCTGTGGACACCTTCACTCGGTTCCGCTTGAGATCGGACAGGAGCTTACCTCCTGGGACACATTGGGAAACTGAGGCACGAACAGCATGGGGACTGGCTCCAGTTGCCAGTGTCTCTTTGCTGAGAAGAGGTGAAGTCAGAACTGGAAGGGAATGCTTCTCATTCTAGGTCTCCCGGGACATCATTGACCTCAAGTTGGCATATGTATGACATCCCTGTGTATTTGAAAGCATGAATCTGTCCTGTGTTTGTACACAGGACGTATCAGTATGTGCATGAGAGAGTTAGGTGCTACACATGCGTAGAGGACACAGGCCCAGGGTGGCTCCTGTGTCCCACGGG